GCATCAAGGTCTAGGAAGCGTGCTTAGGACTAACTCTAACCCCACGAAGATGTTTAGCCACTCATTGATATAGTCATCCAACCCTCAAGGGCTATCTCCATGGTAGGATTGATCTTCTTCTCCTTGATGGAAACCCTAGATGAGTGGAAGAACTCCCAAATGGTGTGTATCTCTCTAATTTCTAGACTCCTCCAACCTCTCTTGTGTATGGTTCCTTTTCTCTATGATTGTCTATTGTTGTATGATTCTCTTTTGTGTAAAATGGCTTAAAATCCTTATATAGGTTGTTCAAGTGTCACACACCCAATGGTTAGACCTCGTGCACTAGGACCTCCAAATGATTGCACCACGAGCACACCTTTTAATGAACTGTAACTCTATTTTTCTTGCACTTGAGGGGGTTCGATCGATCGAAGTGTGGCTAGATCGATCGAACCTTGGCGGCGCCTTTTTGGAATAATGACAAATCTGAGATATTTTCAGGATATTTTGAGAAAAAGACAAAAGTGGTAGGTGGGGATAAGATCGAAGAAGTTCAATCGATCGAAGGTGGGAATTTCCTGAGGATAAGAACAAGGGGTTTGATCCATCTTGGCATGACTGGATCGATCACTGTGAGATCAATCGAAGCTTGATCTGATCGATCGAAGATTGATGTTTTCCACCTCTTTGCTTCCACTTTGCTCCTTTCTTCCATTCAACTTGATATTGCTTCTTTTATGCTATAATTTGGCTGAATTAACTTATGTTGGGGATAAGGGCCTGAAAAGGGCAATAACATAAAATTAGTCTAAAATGGAAAAATAAGATAGATAAAGGTCCAAGAATACTCGAGCTTAAGGGGTTTAAATGCGCATTTTTCAGCGCTCATCAAATACCGAAATGGTCCACACGCTGGATGAATTGGTCCACATATATCCCTTTGAATTCATTGTAAAAATGGTGGGCATTTAACGACGAACTTGGAAGGAGATGGTCTGACTATTAACTTACCTTGTGAGCAAACGGTTGGATAATCATTTGCTAAAAGAATTTTCTAGTATTTTAGTGGATGACCATGTGAATTTTCAATGATTCGGCGCATCATTGTTGACCCAGGATGACCAAGGTGATCATGCCAAAGTATAAAAATATTTGGGTTAGAGCATTTCTGGTGCGTCACTGCATGTGACTCAATTACTCTTATATTTGTATAATATAATCCAGAAGATAAAGCAGGGAGTTTTTCTAATACATGCTTCTGGCATGTAATGCAGAGATATTCAACACCCCCTTCATTTAGAGTCTCAATATGATAACCGTTGAGACATTTATCTTTAAAACTTAATAAATTTATTTTGGATTTAGTAGAGTATAGAGCATCATCAATATTCAATTTTGTTCCACATGGTAACACAATGATAGCTCTTTCGGAGCTTTAATTAGGTCTGCTGGACCTGATATTGTATTGACACTAGCTTCAACTAATGTTATATGCGAAAAATATTTTCTATCTCAGAGTATGGTGTGCGTTGTTGCACTGTCTGCCAAACATATATCTTCACCATTTATTTTGGGTACAATCAATGCCTTAGCCAGATTCATACAAAAAATATATATATTTCATTACTTCAAACTTGAAATACAAACTAGATTTACATACAAGATAGCCAAAATAAAAAACATACTGGTACAACCAAGATAGAGACATATTGATACAACGAAAATTTAAACACACTGATACAGACAAAATAAAACACATAAGGGATAACATGCTAGAAAAGGACATATTAATTGGTATGGACATTTCCATCACCAATCAAATGATCAATACTACCACTAAGATCAGCAAAGAAGTCACAAACATCAAGGTGAGTAATATCAACTGGCAAGTCGTCATCAACAAAATTCATTTCAATTTCCTTTCCTTTTCCCTTATCATTCATTGAGGCACGGTAAAGATCAGTTAGATGTTTGGGCGTACGACAAGTACGCGACCAATGACCTTTCATTCCACACCTATAATAAGGCTTGTCATCATATATCTCAGGAGTTTTGTTCTGCAAAGCTTTTCCTTTTGCTTGCTTGGTCGCATTTGAATTCCACTTTTGGTGGGACGGTGTAGAGTTCCTTCTGGGAACCAATGAGGAATTATGACCACCACGATTATTATAATTATTTCTATTGCGACCATATCCACGACCACCACTATATCCGCGTTCACGTCCACATCCATGTCCACGTCCATGTCCATGGTTATGAAATGATAACACATTCGCTTCTGGGAATGGTACAGATCCAGATGGACTGGACTGGTGGTTTTTCATCAAAAGCTCATTATTCTATTTAGCCACCAACAAACAAGAAATTAGCTCAGAATATTTTGCAAATCTTCTCTCTATATTGCTGCTACAAGAGCACATTTGAGGCATGAAATGTGGAGTATATTGTTTCCAATATATCATCATTAATAATTTTTTCTCCACATAATTTCAATTGTGAGCTGATTTTAAACAACGCTGAATTGGACTCACTTACACTTTTAAAATCCTACAATCGCAAGTGGATCCAGTCATAACGAGTTTTTGGAAGGATCACAGTTTTCTGATGCTCATATCGTTCTTTCAAATTTTTTCAGAGTGTAAATGGATCCTCAACCGTGAAGTACTCTGTTTTTTAATTCCTCATGGAGGTGATGACGAAGAAAGATAATAGTTTTTGCGCGGTCCTGCAGGGACGCATTATTTTCTTCCTTAATTGTCTTTCCGAGATTCATGGCATCCAAGTGAATCTCGACATCAAGGATCCATGACAAGTAGTTTTTACCCGAGATATCAAGTGCCACAAATTCAAATTTGGTAAGATTTAACATTATGAAGGGGACTATAAATTAAAAAAAAAAAAATAACACAATTAGAAATATTAAGCAAAAGTATGCAAAAAGAAGGTTATAAAAGCATCATTTCAAACAATTCTTTAAATAAATGTAGTAACGGGGGAATTACTATTTATGGTATATAATAATAATATTTTATTTGACATAAAAGAATATGTGGCCCAGTGACCTTGGTACTTTCTAGTACAAGGTGGTATCGGGTTCTATACATGTGATCATGTATCTTTCAATTATTCATGCATTTTGAAAACAAAAGAGTTAAAATAAGATCCAATTACATGCACAATATCAAGTGAAGTCTATGTTCAAAATATGTACACTAATATATATCATTCATGCATTAAAAGTTATGACAGAGTAATCATAATCAAACTAAACAATAAAAAAAGAAAAGAAAAAGACAAAATAACTTTGAAAAACTAAACTAAACATGCACAGCTACCCATGTGAAAACAAGTCTGAAAGTATATATGTCCATTATATTATTTCCAATGCACTAATCATGCACATAAAAAGAAAAACTACTTTATACATATATACATATATATGCGTGCATAGTATCTTGTCATAGTAAAACTTTTAATAAAGAAACTATACATCATTGTGTGTGTGTGTATATGAGTAAGTAAATATATGAGTAAGAAAGGTATACATATATAAAAGTCAAACAGTGAGCATGCACAGACACAAACAAACGGAAGTTTGACAACAAACAAACGGAAGTTGACAAAGTCATTGTAAAATAAAGCCTTTTCCTGGAATGTAAATGATTAAACACGAATTCCATAGAAATTATGGACCAAGAAGCAAAACATGCATTCTCACATAAGACAATTAAATATCAGTAAATAAAAGAATGAACCAATTAAAATATAAATAGGTACATTCATACATCTATATCATCTCTCATTCGGGAGAGAAGCAAAGGCAAAGTGAAGGAAAAAAAAAAAAGGCTCTCTGTAGATTATACAAACCATACTTCTGGTATGGTCACCTCTTCTGAAGGTCATATATATGGTAAAGTAAATATAGTGTGTATATATATATATATATATATACTCATATATATATAATCATGCTTCAACAAAATCTATGTATTCTGTAGAAATTAAAATCTCTTTATCTTCTTACCCTTTGAAAGGGAAAAAGAAAAATGAAATTTTCCTCTCACTTGACTAGAGCCCTCGTGCTTGATAACGTTTTATGAATCTAAGAGAAAATATAGAGTAATATTGAAGAGTTGCAACATACTTGATATAAAAACAGAATGTAAGAGAAATAATAGATAGAGAAGGAATATACCGGACTTCACCCCACTAAATTCCAAGAATTCGGGAAGGACACCTCCCCATCCCGAGCGAGGTAAGTCGCGAAATATGTGACTCGTAGAAATTATTTACACTAAGTGAGAGTCTAACCTCCTATTTGAGAGTGTCGTGTTCTACAAGGTATGCTTGTTTTTGTGAGTACTTTGTACATACTATAGAAATTGAAAGTGATGGACAAGCTTAATAAAGTTAAGATTCCTCTCAACCTGTGTAAAAAAGAGCTAATGAACGCCTTTTTCCCATCTTGAAAGCAACCAAACAAATTAAAATTGGGTATCCGACATATTGGATCATTAAGAGTCGATTAGGATGCATGCAACTTCGAGCAGTCAGTATCGGCCCAGGAGATGCTCGCAAATGCCAATCATTTTCTTTACCACTCGTAACCTTGGTAACTAACCAATTAAGAACCTAGGTTGCAAGGGAAGGGATACGGTGATGTACTGTCATGGACCGTCACGATGACTGACACATACTAAAATATGATATAGGATTGAGAAGCTTTTATTCTCCGTTACTTCTTCACATGGTTAGTTAGGTCAAATCAGTACTAAACTGAGTCAACTTTACCAACTCAATAAAGTGGTAAAGCCGACTTTATTTTCGTAATTTAAATTTAAAAATACAAATTGTAGAACCATCCACCCATTGATAGGGGGATTTTTTATTTTTCATTTTCACTTTATTTTATTTAGAAATCCAAATATACTTAATCACTCACAATATTACTCCAAACATAACTCACTTCTCACTAAAGATGAAATTATCAAGATCCCATAATTAGTTCCCATTAAAAGTTACAGAAAATCCCAATTGTCCACATGATCAACAGAAAAGTCATTCAAACTAATCTGGTCATCTTGGACAGAACTGTCACTTGCAATGTTGACTCCAGTGGCTACTTCATCACTGCTCCAAAGGCTTGTAATAAGCTGATCCTCATCTGAGCCGTCCATGGACCATGTGAGTACTCCATTGTCAATGAACTCCCCGTTATCCCACCAACACAGAATTTCATCAACCTTTAGAGGTGATGTTGTTGAAGGATTGTTGGTGAGTGATTGAGTGTTGTTGTCTACATTAATGGTAGTATTTCCATTAAACCAAACTTGATTGCTTGCAAATCTCCGAGGTCGAGGCTTTATAGGTTTGGTTGCTGTAGTCTTCTGGGCTTTGGTTACTGCGTCTGTGCCGCCGCGAGCCACAGCCTTAATCCGCAGGTGGGAGTTCCAGTAATTCTTCACATCATTTCCTGTCCTTCCCGGAAGTCTACCAGCAATCAGTGTCCATCTACTCAAATATTTCTTTTTGGTTAGTAACACAAATCTACTCAAATATTCAATACAAAGTTACATATAAATATATATATACACATACACTAAAAGTGTTTTTTTCTTTTTTACCAACCTACCCACTAGTTTGGATGACTGTAGGGTGCATTGGGATGACATTTTGTTGTCCTAATTGTTGGTTTTCCTTTGTTATTTTTTGGCCCTAAATGGACTTAATGTATATTGTAATTACTGTTTCATATATACAAGCTTACCCTTCTACCCAAAAAAAGAAACCTACCCAATAGACTATTAGACACACTGGATTTGCAAACGCTTGATGCACCCTGCAAATTAGGTGCATCATTCAAGTTCATGCCTCACTTTCCATTGAAAGCAAAGACTTTAGAAGTTTTTTCCCCTTAAAAGGGCAAGAAAAGAAAAACAAAGCACAAGGAGAAAGGACACGGAGCTTGATGGTACTTCTTTTACCTTTTATGGTAAAAAATTGAAAGTTCAAGTTTTCTTAGAAACAAAAATGAGTGTGTTTTCTGTCAAATTTAAAAATACAAAAATAAAAATTTCAAAATAAATGTTCCTTCTAACTTTTTAAAGGAATAAGGTTAGTAATTTTTTTATTGTATTGATAGTGAATGACTTATCAAATTTATCTGCAGTAGGTTAACAGGGATGTGATGGTTTATTTTTTTTAAGTTCAAGAATGTTAAATTGGTAATATTACAAAAAATAATAATAATACTTTAACTTTTCAAATGTGACATTATTTTGGGATGGAGAGAATAAATAAATAGAGACAGTATCGTTTTACATCAATTATAGCATGCATGGCAGGTATATATATATAAATGGCTTACAATTTGAGTAATATACATGTGTGTGTATGTTTTTTTTTTTTTTCGGTAATTATGTGTGTGTATGTTTTGAACGTTAAATTAACTTGCCTATTGCCTATGAGCTTATGAAGTCTGATAATGAGTTCAACTTCATCTGATGCAAAGTCTCCTCTCTTTATATCTGGACTCAGATAGTTCAACCACCTCAGTCTACAACTTTTCCTGCATCTGTTTAAACCTGAAAATATATAAATATATTAAACATTTTATGCAATGTTCACTTGTTTGATGTATAAAAAAATTTGTATGCACAACTCAAATATTATCCGTCAATCTCATTAGATAGTCAAAAAGTTATATTATTAACTGTGAAATCTCGTTGGATAGTTAAAAAAGATAGTTCCAACCTGATAAATTAATTCACCATAAATTCTTACCACGTACACCAGTGAGAAGGTGAACATAGAATTCTATATGTATAACTATAATATGTATATATAGTTACCTGCTTGAAGAGGAACTTGATGCCAATTACCTTCACCATACTTCTCAATGCACTTCCTCAGAAGAATATCTTCATCTGGAGTCCAAGCACCTTTTCTCACTTCAAAAGGAGTTTCTCTCTTCATATCTATATATATATGTGCAGCGCCTAAAGCTTCACTAAGCACAATGATCATCAACTAAGCTCTCACATTTATGAGTGCGATGATTTCTCAATATCTTCTAAGATCAATATTCCTAAGATACAGTATTACTAGGCCACATGGCACAATTTCCCTAAGCAGTACAAAAAAATCTTGGAAGCATACAGACTAAGTGAACACCTTTTAGTTCCTTATTTTACATTCCAGAACACAATCACGTGGAGACCAAATAAGTGATAATTCCCAGACCTGATGGCACAACCTCATGCAATGCCAAAAGTTTGAAAATGTTTTGTTATACAGTACTTGGCCTAAAGCAATTGTATTTCAGCATTTGCTTAATCGTTGGAGAAAAAAAAAATTTGTACTTGACAAGAAACTTAAAAACTTATTTATTTTTACCGGATTCAAACCGTTATCTTTCACTTTGGCTGGTAGATTAGATACCACTAAGCTACACAACTTTTGATAAATAATTGTATTCCTTATTTAACAAGGATTTGTATCATATTTTTACCAAGTTAGAAGCCCTATAAATAAGAGGAGTTGAATTCAGATGGTAAGAGAAGTTAAGTAATTGAGAGGACAGAGAAGAAAAGAGAATTAATGGAGGATTTAGTGAGACAGGAAGATGTGGGTGCAAAGTAGGGGTGGCAATTCGTATTTGTGGGTCCTAGATTCATAATTGTGTCGTGTTGATGTAAGGGGATTCTACTAAATAGGTAAACTCAAACCCAACTCATTTAATAATCGTGTCAGAATCCCTCAACACTACCCCGTTTAATGACTTGTTTATCAAAATGATACATTTACTATTCAATTAAAAAATAAATGCAAGAAAAAATTTGTTACAGTCAACTTAAAATTTTAAAATAAGAAGAAAAATCATAAGACCTAGTCAAAATTTATATTAAAATAACTTAATTGTCCATTGTAATTGTGTTTAAATATGTAACATATTATATAGGTCATATTCACGATTATGACATGTTGAGTTAAACGTAAATAAACAAGTTACACGGGTTGAACCCCTCAATCCTAACCAGACATGGTTAAGTAAACTAGTCAATCGTGTCAACCCGTTTATGACCCGAATTCGTTTAAGGTCAACCTTAACCCGCTTATCTCGTATCGTCTTCGAGTCATAATTTGTCACCCGAAGTGCAAAGAGTAAAAGTGAGTATAATGATGAAATATTTTTCTTCTCTCAGCGCATATTCATGCGGGTCGTTTGTTATTGGGAGTTATTTATGATATGACCATTTGGTGCCTCGATATGTCAAGAGGGATCAGCCCTTATAAATGTCAAAAACTTCTCCTCCCAAAAGATTTGGGTCGTCACAGCATCTAAAGAAACCATGTGCATATATTGCATGTCATATGCATTATAGGAAATGTGGTTCACTCGGTGTGCATTTCCATGGAGTAATCCCTAACCTTTTTTTGTACCCAATACTTGTTACATGATCTTATTTCATATCGAATCTAAATGAAAAAGTGATTGACTGTATATATGAACTGGGTGTTAGATCCACCTTAATGCTTTAGTTTTGTGGTCAAATCGTGAAGCACTTAGATCGTTATAGCTGGTATCAAAGTTAAAACCCAATCATTGATCTGGTATCATATCGAGCACCCGTACCGAAGGAGTCTGGATTTAGACCGAGTGGTTCGACCACAGCGAGAGCGTTGTAAGTTCAGATAGAGAACATGTTAGAGGGTGCACCCACCCGAGAGGAGTCCGAGTCTAGAGACCGAGTCTATAGCCGGGGTAATCAAGGTGATTAGACTGCAATGAGGGACATGAGAAAAGGTAATTAAGAGTAAGAGTGAATTTGAACCCCTCTCTTATGATATTTTTGTTTAAGATGATTAAACAATGCAAATTAGTGTCTAAACTAAGTAAAAGTCGATGAAAGATAAAATTGAAAGGGTAGTATTATTTTTTAATCTCTTAGACTTGGCAAGATATTGTTAATATTTCTATATATATATATATATATTTGGCTAAGCAATCAAAAGTAGCTCCAACATCTTCACATCTAAAAGTAAAAACTCTCCACATTTTTTCTTTTACAACTTGTTCTAAAGCAAGAAAAAATTCTGATTTCTTGTAGTGACGAGTCTAATTGTTGTGATAACAAGACATTCCTGATAAAATGGTTACAATTAATTAATAGTATGTAAAACCAGCTGCACTTTTTTTTCTCAATTCTCTAAATTTTGAAACTCGATTGCAAGAAAAATAAATTAAAAACACCTCCATTGTAAGGAAAAGTTCAAATTCGAACTTCTCTGTGCAAGGGCGGATCAAGGAATTGTTAATGGAGTAGGCTAATATTTTTTTAGGTGGACTAATATTAGTAGTAAATTTTTTTTTTTTTTTCTAGACTGGGCTAAAATTACCTATAATTAAAAATAAAAAAATTGAAGGGCTTGAGCCCATCAAAACATATGACTTGCCTCTGTGAAGCCCCATTACAACTTGGGGAAGTCTCGTGTGAGACTCTATATCACCACTCAAAATAATTATTATTACAACTCAAAAGTGATTTAAGTAAAGAGAAATCATTGAAATACTAGTCATATGAACTAATAAGAGGTACGATTTAACATATCCTATAAGAATAAGCCCCCTTCGAATTGCTTTCTGTTTGAGTTAATAGGCTCAAATATTTCATTTGTCATGTGCGTGAGTCTATTGTGTGCAAGGTTCATGGATGGAAGATCGATGAATATGTTGGTAAGTGTGTGAAACATTGTGCACGAATGAATGAAGTCAAAGATTGTATACCGTGGCTAAGATGAGAACAAAAGTGCCGTGAAAGAAATCAGCAAAATCACCTTTTTAAACGACAATGCTTGGATCTTGTGTAGAGAGGATGAACTTTTGCACCTACTTTAATACTATTTGTAACGAGTCTTATCATCTGATTTAAAATTTTAAACGGGTTGAGAAGTGATTCTTCGTACCCTATTTTTATATGCCTTGCCCAATTCAATATGGACAAGAACATCTACCACTAAGCCATTAAAGGCTTTTGCCTAAGGCCTCATTTGAAATATTCCTTATTTATTTATTTATGGACTTTGTAATTTTTATTTATTTTTGGATCAACATAGAAAAGTAAACAAATTGATTGTCTTAAACATTTCAAATTTCTCAATTTTTATTTTTTGTACATATCAAGAATAAGAATATGAATTCTACAAAAAAAGTTATATGTAAAGTTTTTTTTTTTTCACAATTAAAAATGCCTCTAAAATTTTTGCTGCCTTAACCCTCAAATTATAGTAATTGATAGTGACAAATTTTACCATCCCAAAAGGCACATATTTCTTTCACCGAAAAGGTTTTCATAATAATTCATTAAGTGGGGTCCCTTCAACGAACGGTCACCATGAATCTCTGTCTTCTTTTTTTTTTCTGTCGTTCTCTCACGCATGTAACCTTATTATTCGATACGTTATTACATCAAATCGAGCCTAGTTAAAAGTGACACCTGTGAGTGATCGTTGTCATAAAATGTAATATCACATTGTATGTTATAAAACTAATCTAGTACAGTGCGACACTTACCTTAAAAAATTCGATCGTTCCTATCAGATGTGATACAATACATACAACAAGAATCTGAACTCGTAATTTAATGCCTCTAAAATTGCATTGGAATTTCATTCTTCTAAAAATTTTAATTAAAAAACTACTCATTGTGTCTTTAATATGTCCATGTCATGTTCCAAGCATATCCAATTAAGGAAAATGTATTCAAATTTTAAAATATTTCTAAGCGTGTTGAACATGTATCTCGTTGTCCAACACTACCATGACAATCTTCGTGTCCGACAACATACAGGTCTTGTGTTGCGTTTGTCTTATATTTAAAATTTGAGAAAAATTAATGCAAGAGGAAGAAAAACTTTTGTTGCATTTGTCTTATATTTAAAATTTAAGAAAATTTAATTCAATTTTTAAATAAATTTTTACAATTTCAAATCCAAACCATCAAATTAGTGCTCTAAATATAGCATTAATGGATTCTTTTATAGGCAAATAGGAACTTTTATTTATTTGTTTTTATATTCAGCACAAGAATTGTTCAAATATTGATGTTGGTACTCCTTATTCAACACTTGGAACATCCCAAAAGTCAATAATGGAAATGGTCAACATTCCATCAATTCTTGCCTCCTTGGACAGACTTATTATCACTCGTCCAAAGGCCTAAAATGAGCTCAACTTGTTTCCTTGAGCAAGCATGTTGTCCCACAAGAAATATCATCAACCCTTAGGAGATGGCTTGATACATCGTGGAGAAAGGTAATTGCCATTCTCTCTCTTTTTTTTATTTGATTTAGTGAAAGAGATAATTGAAGTGATGTGGTGCAATTTTTAGTTTCAACACCATTACTTTGAAGTAATGCTTTATTGAATTTAATTGACTTGAACGCATTACAACACTTACAGCAGAGAATATTGGGTTGATTTGAGTCATCAATCGACCCTCAAACGATCCCTACAACATAATAACTAAAAAGAATCAGGGAGAAAATATGATTAATGTTAAAATTTTGGCAGTATATATATATATAGGTACAGATTGATGTCGTTTGAGCCCTTATGCGAAATTATTAAATTAAGCATTCTAATATTCATTATATTAATATAATCTAATAATATTTATTTACAAATTGTTCTGTGATTAACTTGAAAAAAGCTCGAGGGAATATAAAACTCTACTTATATTTTTTAACTTAATAGATAGTGATTTAATTGTGTTGAAAATCTACTTGAAAGAGAGTCAATAAATTACGTAGGGTGAAATGAAACGAAATGATAGTAATAATTTTTATTCGTGTTTGGATAGATAGGGGAAAAAAGAAATGAAATGATAATTATTCTTATTTGGATAAGATAGAGGAGAGAAAAGAAAAGAAAGGATAGTGACGAAATTATTGTCCTACCCTTTCATAACCACTTCATACATTATCCATTTCCAAAATCTTATTTCTTTTGATAGTTCAATGTCATGGGTAAAAACAAAAGTAAAAAATAAAAATATGGGTAAAAACAAAATTAGATAGGACTCATTCAACCTAATCAACCGGGAAGTAGAAATTATATTGTTTGCCTAAAGCCCACGAAAAAAGTAATACATTAAACGATAAAATCACAATTATAAAATTTGGTACTACCATCTTAAAATTATATGCTATTGACGGGATCATATACATATCTGTGTACATATTGCATAATCTTTTTTCCGTTGGATTCAATTTTCGCCCCTAAAAAAATGCTGATGGAACTCTGTGAGATGATCACCAATAAAATCTTGTATCTTTTTGTGAATTTGTTGCTAGGTCAAACTTCAATTGGCACAGTGGCTTCTTAACTGTTATTCTAGAGAGAGTTGGGACATAAATGGAATTATTTTTGAGTATGTTAGATTTGTAAAGGGTATTTTTGGTAACTCATAATTTATAACTCCCTATCACTCCCTATCTTCTCAAATTGGAAGAGAAAGCCTACAAGTGATAGGGATAGATAACTATCCCTCCCTTTCTCTCCCTATCCATCTTTATCTCTCCACTTAACATACCCAAACACACTCTTACATTATCCTCTCTTTTCTTTTCTCTCCCTATCCCTCCAAATCAACCCTACCAAACACACCCGTAGCACAAAATTTTGAACAAGTACCGATATGCACAAGAATTTATAAATTAAAAGAAGTCAAAAAAGTGTAAAAATGTTGAGGAAGTTTATTGACCAATGGAAGAGCAGTTGTATATATATAGTAACTAGTATATATATTTATAGTATAACTAATATAAAAGAAACTTTAATTTACCAATAGATGAGGAGTTGCATTTATTTGATAATTAATCCAATACACACAAAGCGTAATTACTTCATTAAAAATATATATATAATAATAATACAATGACATATAGGGTCCTTTTGGGTGGCTTAGGCAACTGACAAATTTTTTGAAAAAGTTTATTACTATATGGCCCAACAAAATCAAATTAAGCAACTTTAAACCCAATAATGTCATAATTTGATTTAAGCAACAAAATCAAATTATGACAAATTTTTTAAGCCCTGGACTTTAAGCAACTTTAAACCCAATAACTATGTAAAATGTTTTGTTTTTAAACCCAAATCCAATAGATAAATCCACACACACTTAACTTTATTTTTATCTTATCCAAAAGTGAAACAGTAGCAAAGGTTGCAAACTATGTAAGTTTCACTCTCTCATATTCCCTTGTATATTATATTTATTTGTCATTATGTATATGTATGTGTGTATGTGTGTATTCAATATAAAAAATGTATTTCCATCAATACATAAGAGTATTAAAAATTACGGTTTTATTTTAAGTATCCTAGTTGGTTTGCAATCAATGCCACTAATGAATGAGTTTATCCTAATTATGTAGCTTGAACCTGTTTAGATTCTATTGGCATATTTGTTTAATGGGTTTGTTGTGATTTCAAAGCCTTAATTAGTTTATATTCGACTATTTTCTTTAATTAATGTATTCATTTTAATTGATGAAATCAGAATGGTTGAGTTTATTTAATTTATAGTTCGCAATATTTAGTTTAGATTCACATAATTCTCTAATTTATTTTTTCATTGTGTTTTCTAAATGAAAAAACAAGAATTTGTCTTTCTTGTATTATTTTTGTATATATTTATGTCATATTTGACTAGATATAGGAAAAAAAAATTTGGCAAACAAAATGGTTTTAGCATGCATCTAATCCATAATGCAATACCTTTTGGCTTAAAGTTCTGACCCCCAACCACATGATCCTAGCTCCGCCCCGGTTTATGAGTGTACAAAATGTACTGTACATTTAACAAATCATTTCTTGTGACATGCATTCCTTCGAGAATTCTTAACTGAGTATTGTAAACTATTCAATAGTTGTGATTGCATAACATTACAAAGGTTGTCAACAAAAAAAATGAAAAAAGATAGTGGCGGCTGGTGATGTGGAATGTCATAACTACCCCTTCTTGGGACCAAGTGTCCTCGCTGATGTTGGGCGTAGTAGAAGTTCTTATACCACTTGTTGGTTGCAAATATTTTGGGATACACCAGGCATACACCAACAACACCAACAAACCAATTACACACATACTTTGATGCGCCAACAAGCTTTCGTTGCGCCCAATAAGTGGTATCAGGTGATATATTGTTCAGGCTGAGATGGAGGAAACAAATGGTGCAAATTTGTGTTCCTAGTACAGAATGTTTTGATCAGGGGTAGTGGTTGCATACTTCAGTAGAAATTGCATAACCTCAACAAATTAAGGTGGTGTTTCAAAATGCTTGCGTCGCCTGTCAAATATTGTAGTTCTAATTATATTGCGTTTGTTGGGGAGCCAAAAACGAGCCAAAGAAGCTTTAGCTCTCTATGAAGGTGGTAGAAATGTGCCCCGTGCTTGTTCTATCCCTTGTTGGTGTGGGTGGGGGGAGATTTGTTATTACCCCCCTCTTGAGACCCAATGAAACCTAACGTCCTCGTTGGCACCAAGATTGCAAAGTGAACTGGGCTAAGAGGAAGAGTAGTATTTCATATGGACCGGACCAAGGGAAGGGTAGTATTGCATATGGACCGGACTGTGAACTGATATACAGTAGTACTATTTTTATTTTTTATTTTTGGTTTAGTACCTCCGCCCCTGGTTAGCGTGATTCTCATGGGCTTATGCATTCTCCCCATTTTTGGTTGGGGATTGGCTCTATCACCCGCACCATATAAATATTGTCTGTTTTGCACTCTCTTCTCACGGTGCTCATGTTTTCCTCAAACGTTTGCACAATAAAAAAATATTTACACATGTAAGTGCCATCAAACCTCTCCCAAAGGTAATGTGAGAAAGCACAGATTTCAACCCTAAATTGTTCAAACGCAATACATTTTGTCATTGTACAGAATATAGAAGACCCTGATGATGAACTGTCATTATGAAACACAGTGCACAGAGAAAGAGATAGAAAAGAGCTGCATTCCTTTTTTCTACTGTTAATGAGCTCTGCATTCTCCATATCACCAATTACCCTGAACTATTGCTCAGAAATTGGCAAGAATAGTAACACAGAATCAAAATAGTAAATATCTAAAAATAGATTAGAACCCAAATTATAATTAATTTATTACCAAAGATAAAAAAAAAAAAAAAATTTGTCTCAGCATGTTTACGAACCTCCTTTTGATTGACATAATACATAGGAGGAAAATACTGCAAATCGTAGTTCTGTTTTACATGTCAATGAAAAAAACAGTACTACTTAGAGAGTAACTCATTTGGAGCCATGCTATGACACCAAGCAGAAACCAGCCTGCGCGCACAGTGTAAATTACATATGCAGACCTCTGGAACCCGGAACATCTATCCACTGCAACTGGATTTCAACCTCACCACACTCAACGTTTCGCAGTCTAAGAACCATATCCTGGACAACCTTGCCGTCGGTCCACATAATGCAGCTCTCTTCTGCTAAACAGTTGTCCCGGCTCGGTTTTACTCTGGTTATTATGGTTCCACTAGGGAGGTTCCCCAACTGCATCTTCATTGCTTCTAGGAATGGTCTAATGTCAAACTCTGCATCTCCCATCTTGTCGTCAAGGGTGAATGTGTCCTTATCATACACTGTCTGTAAAATAAAATGGTGTAAGATGCTTCGAACATTACAAGAATTAAGATCACTAATCACAATTTAAAGCTCCATCCAAGAAATGACACGCATTCCATCTTGATTGTGCTACATTACTTGGTCCTTTCCCGTTTTGAATGTTCATGATTCAAGAAGGAAATGGTGTATACTCAGTAAACTAGAACAAAATTTTACAAAGATGCCGTTTTCTCCCCATTATCGGTCGGATCATGATTCAATAGGCCTTTTATAGTTTTCAGTTCGCTTCTTTTTCCCTTTACATCTATAAGAGTGGATTTTTTTCAAGTACGTAGAGCATTGATCGGTTTTTTTTATTTTAAAGTGATATATGAAACAATTGAAGCACGGGATCTATAAGAAAATGAATCTTCTATAGTTCTATTTGTATTGCATCACTTACTCTATTGTGTGTGTATGTGTTTTATGGCAGACTCATAAAAGAAACTTATTTAAGTTTCTATCTCACATTGTATCCACAAAAGAATGCATGAAATGAATGCACAACTTCAATATTTTTTTGAAGTTAGGAGCAACTTCAATTAAATATAAATATTTTCTGCACATTATGTGCAGAAAGATATGGTGTTGTTTTAATCACTTGAATTAACCACACCATACTGCAACAACTAAAATACTTACAAGCTTGATTGGAAGATTAGAGTCTGCGACGGAAAGAGTTAAATCTTCATTCCACTCAGGATTGAGATTCTTCTTCACCACCCGCGTCTTTAATTTCTGCATCAAATTTTTTAGATAACAACTCAAGTCAAATAACAACTCTTGATACTGATAAAGGTCGCATAAAAACAGTAGATGGAAAGGAAAAAAAAAAAACATATATATATATATAGAGAGAGAGAGAGAGCAGTTCTAATAATCAAATTGAATTCACACTTTGTGGAAATAATTCCCCACCAATAGCAGGTTGACACGTCAGTACAAAAGGAACACCAAAAATATGAAAACTATTCAACTTCCAACTTGAGCCTCAGCATGGAGATTGGGCCGGGTAGGCCGAGCACGATGGACTGGACTCATTAAGAGGACCCAAATTATATGATTTTAAGCCCAATTACGAATACACATAACAAACCCACTTTGGTAAAAATTTAATTAGGGGAATGATTACTACCCAAGGTAACTAAATCATGTAAAACCTTATCACAAGGAAAGTAACAAGCAATGTGAATCCTAAAAGTACTCAATCATTCAGAATATCTTATAAATATAAGTCAAGACCTCGAATAAATATGATATACAAGCTTTGCTTTATATTAGCTTTGAGTTATTAGTTCCTTTTCTTTACTAATTTATGTTCTTGTGTGTTGTGTAATAATACAAAGATAATCTATTTTTTACACACTTGTTATAATTTAAGTAACAACACCAGTGCAGTCTAAAAGAAAGCATATGAAAATTCAAGGAGTTGGTTCATTTGTGGCTTAGAAACCATGAACAACCAAGATGATAAATACAAAAAAGATCCACAATCAGACCTTATTTTAAATTCAAAATTTGCTGTGAAATTCCAAAATTATTGGATTAAGCTCTGCTCTTTTCTGTAGGATAATTATGAAAATAGTACGTTTAATATCGTTATCTTTGATGATTGTTGTGAACTATATCAAGATTCTCAGTAAGAAAATATATATATATATATTTATATATTTTAAATTACTAGATTATTAATTACGGAGCTTGATTAATTAATACTTAAATATAATACTAGATTGTTAATTACAGAGCTTGATTAACTCCAAAAATAAAAATGGAACTTTATGTTATAATCCAAAATTGCTCTAAACATAAACAACCCATCAACAAACTTAACACCAACTAATCAAAAAAAAGAGTAAAACTTGTATTAAAATTAGCTCAAAACCAAAGTAATCAAAGAACAGAGAATTCAAAAAATGTGGAAAAACTATGATTAATTACCTGTTTGCCCAGTCGGACAACAACGTAAGGATCGCTGCTATTCATGTCTCTGACGGCAAGATTAACGCCTCTGTGGATGTGAATTCTGAGAAGACCCAACAAGTGTTCCATTTTTTGGTTTTACAAGAAATTGAGAACTTGAAAAGTGAAAGAAAGAACAGAGAGGTTTGTCTTGGTATATTGATTATGAGAGAGAGGGACTTCGAAGTAGACAAAAATGGTGGTGGCTTTTGATTCCTTGCTCTAACCTCATCTCGTGCATTTTTATACCCACTTCAGACTCATTATCAATCAGAGTTTACTAGTGTTTTAAGTCTGACAGGAATCACGCGGTCATTTGGACTTTATTTTCACCTTCTAGAGAGAGAGAGAGAGAGGAGAGAGATGGGCTTGGCTTGAGGAGAATGGGTATTCGGGCAACTGGGTCAGATAATGTGTTTTTTGGGATGATATCTGGGTCAGGTTATATTGCCCACATTAATTATGGTTTTAAGCCAATCGGATTTGACTATATGACCAACGTGTATAAGTACAACGTATTTTATAGTATTTGGTGACTAACAGCTTGTTTGGTTGGGTCTTCGCAATGTTTACATTTATAATAAAACCCCTCTTCACTTTCAAATTTTGACACATTAATTATGTTTGAAATAGCCAATACGATTTGACTAGACGACCAAAGTGTACAAGTACAACATATTTTATAATATATACACACACACAGAGAGGGATCAAAATCTTCTCCTTTGCTACAAGAGGACCTCTCTCATCCAATAAGTTGAAATCGTAAAAGTTAAATATTAAAAAAGCAAAATTTTTGTATATATAAAATCGGACCAACTTTTTACTCTTTTTTTTTTTTTTCTCTACACAAATATTTTCCTAACCTACAACTTTTTGTATATTACAACATTTTTCTAACCTACATTTCAACTTTCTCCTTACCAACATTCACTAATTATACAACTACAGAAATAAACATATCTTTGTACAAATACATAAATAAACATATCTTGGTACAAATTATATATCAAAACATATTCCTAACTTACATCCCAACTTTCTCCTTACCAACATCACACTATTCATTACTTTATCTTGTTTGGGATAAACGTCCCAACATTTTCCTAATATGTATCCCAAATAAGAGAAATAGATGAATAGTAGACCGTGTTCTAAGAAAATATTGAGATGTACATTAGGAAAATATTAGGATGTTGTTAAGTCTAAAGTTGGGATGTATAGACTTTGTATGTATATACTAAAAACTAACTTACCTACATCCCAACTTTCCCCTTATCAACATCCCAACTTTCTCCTTACAAACATCACACTATTCATTACTTTATCTTGCTTAGGATGTACGTTAGAAAAATGTTGGGATGCTAGTAAGGAGAAAGTTGGAATGTACGTTAGGAAAATGATATGATGCAAAACCAACGTCCCAACATTTTTCTAACATGTATCCCAAACAAGATAAATAGATGAATAGTAGACCGTGTTCTGAGAAAATATTTGGATGTTGTTAAAGAGAAAGTTGGAATGTATAGATTTTGTATGTATACACTAAAAATTGACTTACTCTCTTTTGTCTTTTTTAACTAAGTGGCGTGGCAAACTTTGTATGTATACACTAATACGTATTCAGTAAAAACTAACTTACTCTCTTTTCTCTTCTTTGCCTAACTGACGTAGCAAAATCCTCTCCACATATCACTCACCGGTTGGGACATATTCTATGTGGCGCTAGAGAGGATTTTAATCTGAGAAGGAAAGTGGTAGACTACCAGCCAGCCAAAGGTGACAGGTGATTTGGTGACTAGACAGCTTGTTTGGTTGGGTCTCTTCGCAATGTAAACATATATATAAACCCTTCTACACTTTCAAATTTTGACACAAAACACTCCTAAATAAAATAAATTTGACCTAAAATCCCCTGAACTATCCAATTATTTCAAAGTAATGTTGTAAATTTTTAAAATATGGTGCCCCTTAATATAAGACTAAAATTAATACAAATGACTCTAATTCTTCGTAGTATTATTAAAAATTATTTCCAAAAAAAATAATAATAATAATGTTGCATCCGTAAGAAAATGAAAATACCTTGATTTTAAAATAAAATAAAAATGCAAGGGAAAAAGGGTTTAAATATAGGGTCGCGAGCAATAAACACTTCGATCATATGCATATAGGGTATATAACCCTCTATAAGTTCTTAAAAGTCCCTACCCTTTACTTTTGGTGCGAACAAGGATATGTTGTTAGTGTAACGATTAAAAGACTAAAATGCCCTTATGTAACTGAATACAAAAAAAATGTAAAAATATAAGTAAATGTAAAATAACTAAAATGTCTAACCCTAAATATAAAGGATATATAGGGGTGTTATTTGCCCAAAATTAATGTAATCTTTAGAGGTGTTTTTGTGTTTCTTTGAAGGATGTTAAATATATACATATATACACACAGAGAGGGAGAAACTTACAGTGGAGTGGAGTATAGAGACACCATGAAGGAAGATAGAATTTGGGAGTTGGAAGAGAGAGAGGCGAGAGAACGAGGGAAATGTGAATTTTATATATAAATAATATAATGGTATAAGGGGCATTTTGGGGAGAGCAAAAAGGTGCTTTAGGAATTCTATAACTTAAAATAACCATGTGGCATGCGCATGTGTCTATAAGAAAATGAAAATACCTTGAATTTTTTTTAATACATGGTCTTACGACTTTGCGGAGACTTGTGTTTTCGGTAAACAGTCGCCTGGCCTGGTCAATGCGACACCCTTTGTGATGGGGCACCCCTTCTCCTAAAGTTACAGGACTATTTTGCCGAGTTTCTTAGAGAGAATTGTCTTGCGGCCCCTAGGTATTTTCTACCCACCCCCTTATGTTCGTTTCGGGTACAGGTGCCCTTTTGTTAAAAGTCGTTCGAGCTTTTCCCAGAAGTATGGCATGGGTTACTTCAGCACCGTAGCGCCTGGTACTCAAACATTGGCTCGAGGCATTTTCTCTACCTCTTCTTACGTCCTTGAACCGATAACCATCTTTCGGCTAACCTAGCCAAACATGGAATCCCTGGCATTGTACAAAATAAATTATAAAAAAAAAAACTCAAGGTATTTTCATTTTTTTACAGACATAATGCATATGCCACATGGTTATTTTGAGTTATAGAATTCCTATAAAAAAAAAATTCAAATTTTCTTAGATTTTATTTTTTAAATAAAAAAGGAAAAAAAAAAAAACTAAAATGAAAATTATTTTTTTTAAAAAAAAAAAGCTAAATATTCTTAAATTTATATCAAGGGGCATTTTCGAAATCATAATATCACTTTAATGGTGAGTATTTTTTTTTTTTTTATTTGTATTTTTTTTAATTAAAAAGCAAGAGAAAACATAAAATGAAATGTTTTTTTTTCAAAAAAACTACTTTCTTAAGTTTAGTTTGACAAATTGTACTGCATCGCTTCGTAGTTAGAACTTTGATCAATTACATAAATAATGTGGGAAAAAATAATTGGATTGCTCTTATGAAGATCTTGTGGTACTTGCAAGTACTATGAATTATGTGTTGCGTTATTGCAAATACCCACCAGCTATTACATGTGACAATTATACCGTTTGGATCCTCACATTAGATGACGTTGCAATTTCTTGGAAATCAAAGAAACAGACTTGTGTCATTCCTCGATAGAATTAGGGTTAGTTTGGTGTACTGGAATGAGCAAGAATGGAATGACCATTCCAACTTCTGATTCCTTTTTCCTTGTTTGGTGTGCCATTTTAAAAGTAAAATGACTATTATAACTCATTCCCTGAGAATGCTCATTCCATCAAAAAGTTGGAATGGTCATTCATCTTCTTGAGTTGTGGAATGCCCATTCCATTCCCACCTAGAATTAATAAAGTAATTTAAAGACAAAAAAGACCATTTGCCTTCTGTTCATATAGTGCATCCCCTCTCTCACCATCCTCTCTCTACGCATACACACACTATATAATATGTAATATATATATATATATATATATATATATATATATATATAATATGTATCTATATGCAGTTTGTTCCCTCTCTCTGATTTACACACACAAGGATGAGATGAAGACAGTGTAATTGAACTTCTATAAGCTTCTGTGCTCTGTTCTGCAACTTTCTTAGTCATTGTCTAGCAATAATTAATTATTTATTTATTATTTTTATTATTTTTTGGTCTCTAATGTTATGATAATTACGGTCTTCATCTGTTGGAGAAAAATGAAAATGTCATGTGTATGTTGTTTTAGGAATCCAATTCCATAACTGGGGAAATTTAGAAATCTCCCTGTCCTTTTGGAACAAGCTTATGACATTGGGTCATTACTTTTTTGGGTGTGCAGGACACAAACAATTTTACAGAAAAATTCATATATTTTATCACAATAAATGGCCTTTTTTTCTTTTTTTCTTTTTTTTTTTTTGGATTTTATCATTCTTCAATATTTTCTTTTGAAAAATCACATACATATTTGAATTTGTAAAAGTATACTATTAGGAAGCCCATCAAAATATTTTTAAGAAATATTTGTGGATCCGAGTTTTTGGTACATTTGTCTTGCATTGTATAAGATAATTATATATTTTTTTTTCATTTTATGAAAATGCATTAGTTGGTTTGGAGAAACTAATTTAAAACTAATTTTATAAAAATGCATTAGTTATATTTTATTCTATTTTACTAATAATAATATCTCATTCAATATAATAATATATTACAAAGTAAGGGTATTTTGGAGAAACTAATTTAAAAATTATTCCATTCCAGCTTTTTATTTAGACTGACCAAACAGGAGAATGGGAATGGTGATTCTATTCTGTGTTAGCAGCTAAACAATGAAATAAGAATGGTCATTCCATTCCTGCATCATTCTCATTCCATTCCCACTTGCATTTCATTCCTGCCTCATTTCATTCTTGCACACTAAACTGGCCCGTAGAGTTTATGACATTTTATTTTGCTATAAAGAAGCTAAAGTGGCTAAGGAGCATATTAGAGGGCATTCCAATATAGAGTCATCTCATGATGCCCTTGACAATACTTGGTGAGGATAAAGCTATAATGCTTCGTATTAATAACGAGTGTTAAATAGAAAATTTAGACATATGTAATAGAAGCACAATCATATGGAAAAGATCCTGATTAATGGATTATTAC